AACGGAGCCCTCCCCGACCCGGCTGCATGCACCGTTAGCTCGTCACGCTCAATTTGTCCTTTTTTGATTGGGTCCCGCAGCGAAAATCCCCGCCACCTCCCCACGAATTTCCTATACAAAAATCGCCAGTGTAAACACGGCAAAACGGTCAGCTGTTCATTTCGTTGCTATCCGGTGCCCTGGCTACCGTAATCTGCTAGCCGCCAGCTATACTGTAGTGAAAATGCCGCAGCTTGATCTCGACCACTGCACCTTTAATGGCAGCATTGAGGAGCTTTTTGGGGGAACGAGGTGAGAAAGAAGTTCTATATTTACGCCTAAATTTTTGTCAGTCAAAAAAATTGTCAAAAAAAATGTGTTTCGTCAAAATCCAATTTCTCGCCGTATTTTTGCGCCGAAATTTTTTTTAGAAAAAATGTGTTTCAGCTAAATTTTAAAATTAGGTTTTCTGGCACCAATTTGAACACCGTAAAATTGAGATTTTCTGGACCCTACTAATGATGGCCTCGATCCGTTTGCATGGCCAAAAATTCCTAGCAAAGAAGATATTATTCATTAGTTAAAAATAGTTTGTTTTTGTAACTTGTATTTAAATTATAAATTTTGAAAAAGTGAATTTTTGGCGGAAAATATTTACATTTTTTCGTGAGAATTGGAAAAGTTTTTGACGTTTTTGACTAGTAAAAGACAGTCTGGTAACACTTTCGCTGTTTGTTTTATAAGAACGGAGCCAAAAGGAAAAAATTGCCCCCCCGATAATGCGAAAGTACCGTAAGCCGTAGTTTATCCTTGCTAACTTAAAATTTTAAATCCCCTTCTCAAAATATAACATCTTTAAATTTTTTTTTGAACAATTTGAGATTATTTATATTATTTTATTGGAAATCGATGATCGATTCCCCATAGAAAACTGAAGATAGCTTCGAAAATTTTTGGAACATTTCTCTATTCCGAAAAATTCCAAATTTTTATTGGTTCTAGACATTTCATTGGACAGGAATTTTTGAATTTGTTGTGAGTATTTTTAAAGTACAATTTTTTATCTAAAATATTCAGGGTCCTATTAGAATCATTTCGGCCTAAACCTTTCAATTCCTTCCTCCCCCTCCAGGCCTATTTTTGCCCCCCAACCGCAAAACACACGCTTTCCACCCCCTCGATCGCTTTTTGATAAGCATTCTTGTACCCGGCCGCCCACCCGGAATATTACTTTTCATCCCTTTTGGCGTGGCACCAGACGCTTCGGCGACTCTTACGAAAAAAAATGTTTCAATGCTTTTTAAAGGCCGCAAAATTTTTTTATTGGCATTGGGAGGACTTCCGTTCTGGCTTACAAATAAAGTAGATACATTGAATCAAATCAAGACGTTCTCAAGACCAAAAATTTCGCTTTATTAATGAATTAATTGATAGATGATGGAAGTTTTTGTGGATTGAAAGATTTTTAAGGCAATTTTATTGGTAAAATCGAAAGGTATATTTTTCAAGACATCAGCTAATTTTGGTGAAACACGTTTTTTGTAATACTTCATCGGTGTACTTTCAGTTTTTTGCTTGATTTTACCCGAAATCCTAGTCCCGTTTTAGTAGCTATTTTAACAATGTTTTTAATTCAAAGTTACTATATTTTAAGTGGAAAACTATTCAAAACTTTTTAAAAAGAGAAATTTGTCGAAAAATTTATATTTTTGGTTTTTAATGGAATTTTACAACCCTTTTGCGGTTAAGAGTCGTAGAAGAATTGTTTAGAAACACTTCTCTTATTTCTAGTAGAAAATTTGGTACATACGAAAAAAGTACACTAAATTCCCCGCCCCCCCCGATAATGCCAAAGAACCATAGCTTGGTTTAAACGTAATTTAAGACAAGTAAAAATCTAAAGATAATGAAGGATTTTTTTTGCAGACTGCTAAACATATCTATACAGTAGGAATACGCTAATAACTATGGTGTTTGGAGATTAGAATTTTTTATAATTAGTCAGATAAATATTAAAGATATATTTCACGAGTACTTGGTAATTTCGGTGAAACATTTCTACGCAAAAAAAGTTGAGAACACCACCCTCTCCACCCACCCATTGTTTCCCTTGTTTTCGGCGGCCGGTCAAAAAGTATCTTTCTCCCAGCCCTCGGGTGGTCCGCGAAATTTTGCTATCTATTTTCGCCCCGGGGGCTACGCTCCGATACCCGATACGCTCCCATCCTCGGCCATATTTAACGGAAAGCAAATTTATGGTGTCAGCTAGCATTCAAAAACTATTGTAAAAATACGTTTTAGTCCTTTTTTCAGTCAAATTTTGTGAGTTTCAAAATTAAGCATACCTCAGAAATATTTTATCCTTATAATCGCTGTCTCATTTAGAGCTTACTTTAATTGTTTATTTTTTTAATTGAATCAATCGCTTACTTGCATTTCCGTGCCTTCTGATCCCATTTTTGCTATTTTGCTATGCTTTAATTAATGATTAAGATAAAGATCAATTTAAGAATTTAATGTTGTTTTAATTTGAGCATGAGCATGAGCTTTTATATATGACATCCTGAAATATAATTCGCGAAATTTGTTTTACAATCGATTAATGTTCTCGAATCTCATTTTATATGTCAGCAATACTGAAAATATTTATTAGACCAAAATCATTCGACTTTAGCCATACCATACTTGAAACATTATTTTTTTAAACTGATAGAACAAGTGATAGTACCGATTTTTTTTGAACTTTATGATTCATTAAAACCCTGAGCAAAGTTCCAGCTATCACTGTAATCAACCCGGAAAACAGTCAACTTCTTCAAGCCGGCCACCGCGTGCCCGCAAAACTAATCTGGATTAGAGGGATTTTGGGGGCGGTGGAAATGGTAGAGATACAGATAAATTTTGGCCCGGCTACGATTCGTGACCCCGGAATAGGCTTGTTTTTAAGGATTTTATTAGGAATGAAAGGCAAAAAATTGCAGTTTTCCGATCACTCCATTGGCGTTAATTTTTATTACGAATAAATCGGCGGACTGGGCTGTGCACTTGGGAATTGACTACAATTTTTTGCGAAACATTTTGCCCTTTAAAATTTGAATATATTAGAATTAACGGTACTGCGCTGTTAGCGGGGGGCGAGGTAATTTTTATTTTTCCGCCTATTCCACCTGCCCGTCATTAAGTTATAATGCAATTAATTTTATAGCCTTTTGAATGGATTTTTATTGCTATTTGATTTTTCCGATTTTCGGATTTCCGATTTTCGAAAATGTAATATATAAAATTAAATTTAAATTGCAAAGGCCTAACAAAAAATTCGTACACTAAATTCTTCAAAACTTTCTTGATCAGTTAATTTTATGAGACGCATTTTTTAACAACAGTTTCTCGATTATTCGAATTTTAATGGCTTTGCTGAATCTACTAATTTAGCTGGGAACATCTAAAAAGTGAAATATTTTAAAGCCTCGCCTAAATTTAAAAAAATCAAATTTAAAATGGCAAACATCTCCACCGCAATAAACTCTTCAAAAAAATTTTTGACCAGTTGATTTTATGAAACACATTTTTCCTCATGATTTCCTGATTCTTTCTGATTTTTCTCTACACCTCTGGACTGTACAAATTTAGCGACGAAATCGCAGAGACGCAGCGAAACACAGAAATGGGGGCCGCCCACTCGATGGAAGCGGGCCACGAAGCGGAAATGGCGCTACGGCCAAGCTCACGCCGGATGACGACCGGATGTGTACGGGGGGCTACCCTGGACGAACATCAACTCGGCACTACCCGGCCAAAACGGGCCGGCTCAATCCCGGCAAACGCCACGTTGCGTGTGAAGAAAAATTCGGACTCTGAGGTGCCGTCACCATACGAGGTGCTTTTAAGGGGTTATAAATATTAAATTTATAAGTAACAAAAATTAAATTTAAAATAATTAGATTTGATTAAATGCAACCCTATTTTTTATTTGAATTTAATTTAGCCAAAATCTTTAAATTTTAGAGAATCGGGAGACTTTTTCTGGCTAATTTCCCCGCTTTAAACGGCAATGTCTTTATGAATTAAAGGGGGCAGCTTTTGAAAAAAACATGTTTTGAGCATTTAATAATATAAAAAAATTTTTGTCTGATTATTAACTCCACAGCAGATTTGAGTGCCTTGCTTCTCATCTAAACGTCAAAGCTCTTTGGCGTTAAATTTTTTTATTGAAAAAAAAACATGTTTTGAGCATTTGTCGGCCTGGAAAATTTCGGGCCTCGCGCAATGCACTATCGACCCGAGTCTTGACAGTATCTCTTTTAATGGGAAATGCCGTAATGGGGTTGATAGGTACATATAGCATAGCGGGGGGGATAAAAATTACGGGGTGGGAGGGGACCTCAAAGTTTTATAATAAAAATAGTGTCATAAATAGTTTTCCCGTCTCTCAAAAAAGGTTTTAGTATATTTTGCCGCCCTCTACCGACCCGCATTTTTAAAAAGTCTTGAAACAATTAAAATTCCGAAAACAACCCCGTGTAGGACCCCGAAAGGCTTGTAGTTTATCCTGTAGTTTTTATTATGCTATAGAACTTTTAAATAACATTTTTCCGAACTGAAAATACTTTCCTGTGATTTTTTTGACGTTCTATCGATTGGTGTTTCCCAGATAGGATTAGCGAAAACAGGAAAACAGAAAATGTCCCCTAAAATATCAGCGTTAAATCAAAAAACGGCAAAACATTTTCAAAAATTTATGCGTTTCACGAAAAACGGTGATTTAAAATTTTTGTAGCTCGGCAATTTTTGTTGCACGGCAACTTAAATTTGTTAATTTAGCTAATTCCACTTTTGGCTAATTCCACAGATTCCAAGTCCCATTAGCGGCTGACAATATTTTGTCTTGTTTCGAAGACTCAAAACATGTTTTTTTCCATAGGCAACGCTCTCCCTGGAAATTAGAGTCCCCAATTTTTCTAAAATTCGCATACGAATCCTCAAAATATCTAAAAACCCGCTCTCCCCAGGTCCGTCAGCTGATGGCCGCCCAATGGCAACGGGAAAGTTCCGAAGGCGAAGATGAGGCTGAACCTGTTGAAGTTGAGCACGACGAAGAAGCCGCCGACACGATGGTGGCCAGGCTACGCGATGTTGAGCACTCGATCCAAGCGGTTGAGCGCAGAATCTCCTTCAAAAATCGGGGCCACCAGACGTCTAGCCCAAGCTCAACCCCGAGGAGGGAGAGGCGACGTCGAGAAGCCGAGGATTCCGGGTCTTCTGAGAATTCGACGTCTTCTGATGATTCTGGGATCGATCGGCGGCTGAGTATCGATGAAGAGGACGGGAAACACTATCAGAAGAAGCGGAACAAGTCGAAGAGCTTGGCGAAGAAGCTCTCCCGAGCGAGGAGCAAGTCGTTGGGGCTGATTTTTGGTGAGTTTTTGGGGTTTTAAAGGGGTCAGCAAGTCTGAAAATCAACGCTGTTATTGACTAGGTCTAGACAGATACGTGTAGCAGGAAAAAACGCCTTTTATACGAACTTAAGATCACGATAAGTCAATCAAGAAATAATTGTGTTTCAAATTTCAGCGCAAACTTTGAAGGTTGATGAAACATAATTTTTTGTAAAAGCCTCACCTTGTATTCTGATTTTCCACTAATAATCTCTGCAAGATTCTCCTGCAGACGATCCCCAAAATTCAACTACCCAATTACAAAGCTTTAATGGGCACCTTGAGGTCACCCCAAATCGGGCCCCCGCCCCGATTTTGAATGCCAATTAACGCCCGGCTAACACCTGGCCCGGCGATTGTAAAAAGTGACATTATATATGCGGAAAAGCTGTATTCGGCTCCATTTGATGAATGCCCAGATTTCGGAGTCCTTTGCTTAAAATAGCCCGGTTTTAATTTTAAGATTGGTGCTAAAACTTCCATTTTCGAGCCTGCCTTTTGGAAAAATTGTTTCGAGAATTTTTAGGGTCTGAAAATTTATGAGGATTAATGACACTGCCAGGAACATTTCCGCGTTTCGGCGTTTTATGTGTTCTTAAATTGATGGATAATTAAAATTCTTTATTGAATCTAAACAAATTTTGACGTTTTAATTAGGATTTTTCTTCAATATAAAGTTGCGAATAGTTTTTAGAAAAAGTATGTTTCTACTAAATTAGGATATGTGTATTTTTTACACGGTTTAGTACAATAACCGATCGAGAAAGAAGATCTTTTAAAATCTCTTTTTTGAATTTAGGCGTTTAAATTAGGTAATTCCTCCTTGTATCCAAAAAACCCCAAAACATGCCGAATACCTTTTAAAAACAAATCTAGCGAGAATCCGAAAATTGATGTTTCAAAATATTAAGATTTTTCCTTTTTTTTGTATAAAACTTTAATTCATTCGTGTATTGCTTCTGCAGCTATTACGCGGCGTTGAAAAAATATTTTTCCCCAATCGGGCCACAGATTAATAAATTATTTATGTCGATATATTGGGTCTACCGTAACCGGAGCGGCAGGTGATATATAATATTTTGTTTTTATTACTAATTAACGCCCGGAGCGGCTAGATAGAAATCGCCATAAATTTTGCTCCTCAAAAAAACCGGGGATACCCCGGAATTGGATCCGGTCAAGATTACCATCTACCTCTTTCTAGCTCGCTTACCGAATTCGAGTTTTCCGCCTCGTGTTTCCTTTCATTTTGCGGCCCTTGATGCCGATTTCACTTCCTGCGAAATTGTATCATTTATTTTTAATGAAAGAATTTTGAAACTTTGATTGAATGCCTTTTATAATTTAAATGGATTTTATTTTACGGCTAATGAAATTCTTATTTTTGGTGTCCAACTTATTTTATCCAGCTTTATGGCATCGAATTGCTGAACTGGCGCGCATTAATTAGTAACGGATTTTTGGATCTTTATAATTAGTTGTAACATGCTTTTTAAATGGCCAGATTTCAAAAATTTGGCTAAAACCGCATTGGGAATGTGCTTTTAAAATAGCTACGAAATTGCGGTTCTAGGCTGTTAGCGGGGGGCTTTTGGCAGGCGGTACCCCACCTTTTTGTAGTAATTTCGTCTATATCGAAATATAAACGATTTTTATATCATTTTACATAGCTTAGAAAAAATGAAATAATTCGAAGTTTTAGATTTTAAGAAGGATTGTAAAAAAATGGCCAAAATGCTTGAATTTTAAAATTTTTTGAAATTTGACAAAAATGCAATTTCTGGCAATCGAAAACTACTAAAAACCCTAGAAAAATACCGTATGTCTTATCAACTCATAGGTATAGGTGAAAAAAAAACAAAAAGTGCCCCCCGCTAACAGTCCAGAACCCTTATTTCTCCGAAAACAACCTCATTTCGGCTCTAAATAAGGGAAATCTAGAGTTTTTCAAAACCCAGAAAATCCCGTGGAACTTTTCCGCTTGAATATCCGGTTATTTTTAGGGGGATTTGGCGGATTTTGCGGATCGGCCCCCTTCCGGGAGCCGACCCTTCCCAAATGCGTAAACGAAATGCGTTCGCCCAATTTTTGGGGTTAGGGGCCAAACATGGGCCCTAGCGGCTCATGGCCCATGGCCCCCAGTTAGGGCCCAATCCCATTTTTGGGGGCGCCGTTGAATTTGGGTAGAGCCCCCGGGGGGCCAAATCGCATTTGTAGGGCAGGATGGAACGCGCTTTCGGTTACTGGCGCGCCTGGAAAAAAAGATGAGTTTCGTGAAATTCCCAATACCCGTTCAATCACCCCCAATTTAATCCCAAGAAGAAGTTGAGGCTGGAAACTCTCTAAAAAGCCTTAGAAAATTTCGAAAGCTTTTTACTTTACCGAAACAAGTTTCTTACAAAAAAATTAGGTTCTTTCCATTATGCGGGGGGGGGGGGAATCAATTTTGCTACGAACCCAGAAATGCCTAGAAAAATAATACAAAGCCCTTTGGTAATGGTTTTAGTAAATGTTACCTGTCTTTCAGTGGAAACCTATCAAAAACGTTAAATTAAAATATAAATAAATAAATAATAATAAAAATATATAAATTTTCAAAAATCAACGTGTTGGTCGAAGAATCGATATTTTCACTATTTTATGTTTGAACAAATTTGTAAAGCTTTTGCGTTTGGGAATAGTAACAAAAGAACCAGAACAGTTCCACTTTTTTTTTGAAAAATTCGCTGCTACGAAAAAAAGTTGGTGCCCCCTATAATGCAAAAGAACCTTCAGTTGAACCTATATCTATGTATAAGCCTAAGCCCAAGCCTTAGCCTAAGCGAAGCCCTTTACGGCCTCTATTAGGTCACGACCAAAATACCCGGCTGTATATCACGCTTAAAACTACCGTTCGTGGTGGGCCCCGTTTTACCTCCTCCTCCTCTCAACCAGTGGCAGATTATCCATCTTAACCTCCCTGGCGCTCCCATTTTTCGAAATGTCCTCCTTGCCCCCGTATTTGGCCATAATCGGGGCGCACGGCTAAAATCAACCGGAAACCCTGAAATCCGTCAGCACCCCCGGGATTTATAGCGCCATTCGCTTATTTTTGGGGCCGGCCCCGACCCCGACGGCTTAACACCGGCTAAAAATAACAGTTTCCCGTAATATAACGCGAATAAAAGACCCTGCGCAGATTGTGGGCTATTTTTAGGTGTTGCTCCTATTTTTGTTACCCCTCAAAATCTTGGAAAATTTTGGAAATCAGATGTTTCAAAAAATTGTGTAGTCTTCAAAATTTTTCAGCCTGTACTAGCTTGACGTTACGTAAGCGTTATTTATTGAAGAAGGCTTTACGAAAGGCTGGCCCTTCTATTTTGTAGTCCTGACATTAATTTTCGCTTGAACTGTTTGCGAAAGTTTAAAGGTTTCAACAAATTGGGTAGTTTTGAAAATTTTTGGGTTATGTAGTGGTCGATCCTGGTTAGATTTTAAACTTTTTATTTTTTTATCAAAAAGGCTTTGCAAAGCGCTGCTGGAAATTCAGTTTTTCTATGTTGAAATACTATGCTTATTTTGTAAATAAATGTTTCAAAAACAATTTAGGTACTTTTGAAAATTTTTGAATCTAGTCCGATCTTGGAATTCTCAGTTAAACTTCTGGTGTAATTTTTTAAAATTCATTCATTGAAAAAGGCTTTACAAGAGGCTTTTCATAAAAACAGGTTTTACAAAACGTTTGTTCGAATTCGACGCTTCCAGTTTGCGTTGCGTATGCTAATTTTTCACCTCAAACTCCTCGAAAAAAATTGAAAGTTAACTGTTCCGAAAAATCGGCTAGTTCAGGAAAATTTTGGGTCAGTAGTTTTCCGCAACCCGTGCTTACGCTTTTACGCTATTGTATTAAAAAGGTTTTACAAAAGTTTGTTGGAATTTGGCGGTTTTTATATTCATCCGATAGCTTTAAATATTTATATCTTATTTAAATGTAACGCGCACAGTTTAGCGTATTTTTTACTATTTTCAGGGCAATCTATTTGAAAGGAAATGTTTCGAAAAAATTAAAAATCCAGGAGATTTTTTATTGTCTGATACTTGTCCAAAGCTTTCCGAATATATTTACGATTTTTATTTTTGCAAGATTTTCTAAGCTTCACCCTGAACTCTGCTTTTTTGAGGACAAAGAACGAAACTCGAGCCATTGTCCCTCAATTTAGGGGAACAATCCTGCCTTTTGGCCTTTTCTACTGACACCATTTCCGGCGGCTTTTCCGCGGCTTCTCCCCTCCCGCCATCCTTCTGATTGTCCTTCTGAATACCCCCGAATTAAGCCCGCGAAGTTGGCGAATTTACTCGCCTTTTCGTTGCAAAAACTTTTCTGAGAAAATGCGTTTCACCAATTTGGCAGGTTGCTGAAACTTTTTTCTGCATAATGTTTGTAGGCTATCTCTTTACACCATTTCTATGGAATTCGCCCGCATTCCTATAGGATTTCCATAATAATTTCGATATCAATGTTTTGCAAATTACTAATTTAAAAGGATTAACAATTTCATAGCTTTTCGAAAATCTAAAATTCAAATTTTTGCAAAAGATATGTTTCGTCGAAATTATTGGTCAGCTAATCAGCACTTCGCTTAATAATTCACTCTTTGGGGGAATTGAATTTTGCATAACCCAATTCGAAGCTTGGTTTATTAATTTACTTGGCTAAATTTGGAGGTCAATTACTATATATAAAAATAGTTGTGTGTGTTTTTGTGTGTTTATTCTATTCTTATGTTAGGTATTATAGGAGAGGAGGGGTAGTATGATAGTTAGTGTAATGGTATGAGATATTAATTTTTGTGTTTTCGATATTAAATAAGTTTTTAAAAACTCGTGACCTCTTTGTTAGAAATCATTGCATGAGGAAGTGGGGATATATGGGGTAGAGGATTTTTTTTAGTTAGGAGTTTTGGTGTGGTGGGTGGGGGGGGTGTGATACCTTAATTTTAT